TAGCTCATATGTCCCAGCCTCGCATGCCATAAGTTAGCTATTTCATTCTTTCGAGTCTTATCTACATAAGCAGACTCTGTTGACATTACGTAGATGGACTCGAGTTTTTGACCCTCCATGATCGGTATACTGATAATTTTGAGATTTTTGTACACCTTAACGTTATTGGGTCAAAAAATAACATAATTCCCCGAAGTTGACAGTTGTGATACAGATAGAAGATTTTTCTTCATATCTGGGACATGGTAGACGTTATGCAGTTGCACTTGAGAAGGACTAAACAGTGGAGTGATGACCATCTTGAATTGTTAGCAGTGACAACCATTCGGCCTCCGTTGTATTCAGTTGTGTTTTGCAACTTTTCTTTATCTCTTGCCATATGATTGGAACATCCTGAGTCCACGATCCAATCATTTTCTTAATCTATTCGTCTAGGGACAACAGCAGCCAATGGAATTTCTCCATATATGCCTGGTTGATCTTCTTTATGGGCCTCGTCAGATATAGTTGGGATCATCTCCTCGACTATTGTCGTAGATGCCTCTATGACCCACTCTTCTTCACTGTTGTTAGTCTCTTGGTTGTTGAAGGTTTCTACATTCCCTTGAGCAGCCTTTTTCCTGTGCCAGCAGTCCCTGGCATAGTGATTTGACTTGCCACATACGTAGCACGGGCCCTTTTTATTCCCCTTGGACGTTTGATATTTCTTATAACAATCTTGATGGACCCCCTTTGTTTGAGATATTCTTTCTTCCTTTTTAATATATTCCTTTTTGTCTCTTTTATATTGTTGGTATGGTCTCATATTCATTTTATAACTAAATAAAGCTTCATCTTCTTTCTTAATTGAGACTTGCGCCATTTGTCTGGTCAGCGCTTCTTGGTCGGCTAGTATATTTTCAATATTTACCAAAGAAGGCTGCTCAGACCAACCTTGTCTAACGGCTATAATCCCCCTAAATTTGGGTCTTAAGCCATGGACGATAGTTCTTTTCATTTTAGCTTCTGAAACTTTATTAGTGGGGTCCAATTCAGAGATTTCACGACAAAGAGTTTGTACCTTGTTAAAGTAGTCGCGTACCGTCATCTCTCATTGTTTGAGTTTAATTTCATAGTCTTTAAATATAATGAATATCTATAAACTATTTATGAATATGTTTTAAGTATTTAAATATTTTAAGTCTAAATATTTAATTAATTATGTTTTTACATATAATTTAAAATAAATACTTTTATATATATTTTAATATTATATATTAAATCCTGTCCAACCAGTTCAACCACTGGTCCGACTAGTAAATCATTGAACCAGTAAGTCAACTGGTTCGATAACCGATTCAGTTCTGAGAACCTTGATTTATATGCTACAGGGGGACCAAA